GGGTCAAAGAACAATCCCATGAGCTGCTCGGCTCACCAATGACCTGGAAGAAAACAACCACCACCAATAAAGTTTGCAGATGACAAATAGAGGAGTGATAAATAATGAAGAGGACAGGTCACTTAAGCAATCTAGATCACTCTGAATCAGCTGGGTGCAAGCCAAATGTGTTTTGATGTGGCTAAATGAGAATTTCTACATCTAGGAACAAAGAAGTCAGGCCCTACCTACATGATGGGGAACTCTATCCTGGGAAGCAATGACTTTGAGGTTATGGGGAATAAACCCCTGCTGAGACTCCGAGTTTCTACAGTCCATCCTAGGCTTCCACCTCACACCCTCCCCTGTGCAAAGTACCAGATATGATTGCTTCTAACAGTCTGGATGCAGGTGCCTTTGCCAATGCCCTCCAGCTGGGAGGAGTGAAGGCCTCCTGTGGGCAGGGTGGGGTAGCATCAAAAACTTACTTTCTTAGTAGGAATCTGTTACAGGATCTCTTCACCGCAGCTGTAAGCCCAAGCTCTTATACCCCTGCCATGGCCATGCACAACAGCCTTTCAGCACAGGCATGTTGGCTGGACTTCCGGGGTGGGTTAGAGCCCAGGTTCCACTTCCACTCAGGCTAGTAATCTGCCCTCTTTGCAATGAGTCTGCCAGAGCCTTCCCACAACTCCTCTCATGTGCCCAGCAGGACAAAAGTTCTCCATCACAGAGCAGCTCAGCTCGCTGCAGCATGGAGAACCATGAGGTGCACCCCGAAAGTCCTAGTGAGGCACACGAGGAGGACTCTTAACTCAGGTAGGACTCTGCAGCTGGGCTGCTCTAGATCTCTCCTTCACAGCCATGCCCTCCCTCTACTGTGGCTCTGCAGGACAGGGGAGGCTGCTCCTCTGCTCTCAGTTGGGATGGATCTGCAGCCAACAACATAGAAGCTGCCATCAATTAGTCTCTGGTGGGTCCCAGAACACTAGCCATAAATCACTAATGAAAATGCCAGTGAAAGGCAGGGCCAGCCTGTCCCTGCAACAACTGGCCACCAGTTCTTAATTTGCAAGGAAAGAGGTGCTGGGGCTCAAGCAATATTTTTTACATTCATAACTGACACAGCAAATGCAGAGGTGCTGGGGCTATGAACTCTCAAGCTCAGAGATGCCAGGGCTTAGCCCTGGAACAAATTAAGCACTGTGTCCATCTAAACCCTGCAGAACACACAGCTTCTCCAATACAGGCCCAGCCCAGCAGGGCTGCCTGGATTTCCCAAGCTTCAGACCCATAATCCCTTTAACAAGAGCTCATTTTGCAGAGCAATGTCTCATGAGCCCCTTTCCCCCAACAAAGTGTCCAGGCCAGGAGAGAACTAGAAGGCAGACTGGAATTCTACCAGGGGCCCCAGTTTTGGTTTCACACTGGTTTGACACCAAGATGACATCAGCTGAGTTAGTTCAGATTTACAGAGGCAAGAGAAAGGAGACTCAGTAGCAAGACATGCATCATACAGACTGTCAGTGAACACTGAGCCACAGACTTCACTGGGAATAGCCGGCTCTTCAGCATCTCACAGGATTAAATCCCTCGTGTAGAGTCACACTCTGTATGTTTAGCTGCAACATGGAATAGTAATTTAGCACATAGCCAGTGCTTTTGCCTCTTCAGAGAATTGTTCAAAACACTAGTTCTGCTCTTGCAAGACTATAGCCTAGACCTTGGTGTGAAAGGGGTTAAACTCCCCCCAAAACGAGTTTCCTAGCTCAACTGTACTTTGCATGTTGCAATAAAAAACATTCTTGCAGTCTCCTAATTAGCTAGATGATCCATATTAATTTGAGGTGAAAATGGATTAAGTCATTACAAATTTCTACACTGTTTACAAGTATTAGAAAGTTTCTAAAAGGAGCTTTTTTGTTAACCTCTTTGAGCTGTTTCAGAGTAACAGGGCCTTGTTTGTAATTCAAATCATGCCACTGTGCAGCTGGCCTGCTGATCCCTCCTGCAATAGGCTTAATATTCCTACAGCACAAATTCTACCTCTGTATTATTAATTATTTGGAATTGTACACAGATGCTTTGATGTTTTAATTCTCTCCATGGCCCTGGAATGCCTGGTCCTTTTCAAGCTGACCAGCAGCATCAGTTCAAGGCTTGTCTTTTGTCTGCCTTTGGGCAGCAGGTGTGATCATCAGGGTGGGGGTGGATTGTCCTTCATGGCAGACACAGATGTTTCAGATTGAGACATTGGGGCCCTGAAAACAGCTGAGTCTGGCATGTGGGAGAAATATGTCAGAGCTTTTTCTAAAAGTTTCTTGAATCTCCAGTGTGCACATTAGATGCCAGAATGAAAGTGATCGGTAGGATTTTCACAGTCACCTAAGTGAATTCGTTCTCAGCTCCTATTGACTGCCAATAGGGCTTTGTCACTGGACACCAAACACACAAAGGTGTCAGAACTCCACCCCACCCTTGGTGATGATCCACTCAGAGCAGGACCCCATCCTGGTTTCTTTGGCATTACTTCCCTCCCCCCACTTCGGGGAGAGTGCCCTATCTGTCTCCTAGGCATCTTCTCCCAGGCTCCATCCCCAACACTTGTAGTGTCCTGCACTGTAGGATACAAAAAGAAAAGGAGTACTTGTGGCACCTTAGAGATTAACCAATTTATTTGAGCATAAGCTTTCGTGAGCTACAGCTCACTTCATCGGATGCATACTGTGGAAAATACAGAAGATGTTTTTATACACACAAACCATAAAAAAATGGGTGTTTATCACTACAAAAGGTTTTCTCTCCCCCCACCCCACTCTCCTGCTGGTAATAGAGACTGGGAATGGTTGAGTCATTATAAAAAGTAACCTATTTCCCCTTGTTTATTCCTCCTCCTCCCCCCTTCCCCCCACTGTTCCTCAGATGTTCTTGTTAAACCCTGGATTTGTGCTGGAAATGGCCCACCTTGATTACCATACACGTTGTAAGGAGAGTGATCACTTTAGATAAGCTATTACCAGCAGGAGAGTGGGGTGGGGGGAGAGAACTTTTTGTAGTGGTAAACACCCATATTTTCATGGTTTGTGTGTATAAAAACATCTTCTGTATTTTCCACAGTATGCATCCGATGAAGTGAGCTGTAGCTCACGAAAGCTTATGCTCAAATAAATTGGTTAGTCTCTAGGGTGCCACAACTACTCCTTTTCTTTTTGCGAATACAGACTAACACGGCCATTACTCTGAAACCTGTAGGATACAAGTAACCCTGTGGACGCTATTGGGATTTAGTTGTATTCTGCTAGGAGATAATGGGGTACCTTGGTGCCATACTTCCTGACAGATTCCATCCTTACTCACATCAGTAAAAATCAGGAGTGTGAGTGAAAGCCCAGTATTTCTGAAACTGGTATCAATACCCTGCCCCTGCAAGCTAGCTAGCTAGGAAGGAAGGTTGGGCAATATGTCATCCCCAGCCCTCAAGGACAGCAGATTTAATGGAATCTGGCTTTAGAGCAGGGGTAGTCTGATTTTTGTCAAAGTCCAGACTCCAGAGAAACATTTTTCACACCTCTGTAACAATAAGTAAATAAGATTAAGATGTTGGGGTCCATTCAAAAGCATCTCTGGATTTGGCTTGGGGTCTGCCTATTGACTACCCCTGCTTTAGAGGATCCCTTTTCACAGGGAGTCTCTTGCCACCCTTGTTGTAATAGTCTCAGCATGAGGATGCAGATCTGGTATGACTCAGCTGACCAAATACGCAGACAGCTGATCTAAAAGGGCAGTGCAGGAGGGCAGGGGTGGTTGCTAAGCAGCAGACAAGAAGGAACACATATAAGGGTAAGAGACACCAATAAAGTGTAGGTAATCCCCATCATCAGCACCTGTGCAGCTGGAGAGATCAGGTTCCCTGTGGGCTGAACCAAAGGCTGTCAAACTCATCCTGCTTCAAAGCAACTATTTGGTGGGTTGCTTTTTTTTTTTTAAACAGATTCTTTATCCCAGCCCAAAGGCATCATACTACCAAGGCAGCTCAACCAGTGGGACCTATCTAGGCAATGCTCAGTGTTGTCCAGACCTGCTCTGAGCTGGCTCTAAGAACTCCTGAATCCCATCTACATTACAGGCTCCTCCATCACTTTCCCTAGTGGAGGTGGGAGGGTCCCAGAATCCAAATGTCAAATTGAACAGCCCCTTAGCCCAAGCACCATGAGCAGAGGGAATGTGTGTGTGTGGGGGGGGAACGACAATGACATCACAACACATGCAGATTTGCTGTTTGGTTTGTACTGAGCATGCTCAGTAACACTGCTGACACCAGCTGCCCTCACTCTGCCCCCCCAACCCCCACTATCCACAGGCATGGGTCCTCTCTGCCCATGAACCCAAGTCAGCTGGCATGGACCAGCCGCAGGTATCTAACTGCAATGTAAACATACCCTTAGAAAAGGGTCCCAAATCCAAGCCCCGAGTCTGAACTAATTTGGGAAGGCTCGGATGCTGGTCTGATCTGCATTGCTAGGGCCTCTCTCATTAGTCAAGAGAAGAGGTCAGTTTATGTAATAACTTTCCCAGAATTCTTTAACAAAATAGTAAACAAAGAGGAAACTAATGCTCCTGGCAACAGCCAAATAACTGCTTAATAAATCTCATTAGCGTCAGTAAGCTGTTTAACAGGATGTGCTATTTTAGCGGAGCTTGGAGGGGGGGTAGTATGTGTCGGTGTGTGCTTTCATGTGTGGAGTGGTTTTGGAGTGTGCAAGTATTCACATTGTGTTGCAGCATGCAAGTGTTGTGTTACAATGATGGATGCGTCACTCTCCACGTGTGCACGTGCATGGCAGCTTGTTTCCATGTGTGGGGATGTGCTGCAGTTTGAGAGGTTTCATGTTGTGGGGTGTGCGATGGATGTGTGCTGTGTGTATGTCTGCCTGTGAGAGGACAGGCTGCAAAGCACAAGCACGGGGAAGCATGAGTACAGCAGAGAATGTTTGTACTTACACCAAGCCTTTCCCCCTTACCTTCTGAGGGGCGTTGATGACTCCAGTGTTATAGCCAAACTGCAGGGAGCCCAGCACTGCTCCTCCCACCGCCAGCATCAAGCGAGCTGTCATCTGCTTCAAGAGAAACATGCGGTCAGGTTGGGAAATGCTCCTCTCTCCAATGTAGGACTGTGGGGGCAGCCCCCGGTCCAGGTCACCCACCTGGCTCCTGACCTGAACCATTTTAGGATCCAGTCCTCTGGATCTCAACTGGGCAGCGGCTGTGCACGTACAAGACTTGTACACCCTTCCCTGCCCCCTTCCCATCTGCAACGAGCCAGGAGATTTAGGGCTCATCTTCTCCTGGCTTCCAGCGTATCCACTACTGAGCGAGAGGCTGAACAGAGCAGAGCAGTCATCCCCCAGCTCTCTCCCTACTCAGAAAAGTAGCCCCCAGTAGAGAAGCTTGCAGATTGGGGCATGGATAGTGAATAAAAAAATCCAAAGTCCACCCATGCAAGCTCACAAGTTGCAGTGGAGTTGCACTGATTGACATGAAGACAGATTTGGCCCACTGAGTTAGTATCCCATAAAGGGTATCCCTTGTTAGCATTTCCTTACTTGTTCCATCAATGCAATTCTAGATTAAATCCACCCATTTTCTACAGCAAAGTGTCTGACCAGATCTTTCAGGGGTTAATATATACGTGTGTATGTATCATATTACAAAAAGCAGTTTCCTGGGAAAGATGGGGAGCCTGAATCTCCTCTCACTTAAAAGGATACAGGCCTGAACTAAACAATCCAGGACCCTTGGCACACCTCAGATGGGAGCCCTGATCACCATACTGTGGCTGTGGTCTCTTCTTCAGAGTTAAGATAGCTGGGGCTACTGTTTCAGGCTATTAGTCATTTATTAATTGCAGTTGCACCAAAAAGCCCTGGTGATGGACCAGAATCCCACTGTGCTAGGTGCTGTACTAACAGAAGAGACAGCCTCTGCCCCAAAGACCTTACAGTCTAAGGAAACTCAGGTCAAGTTTTCAAACTTTTCTTTCAATCCAGAGGTTGAACTTTTTTTTTTTTAAAGCAAATGCTGAAATTGTGGGATTCCAGGCACTGGGCCATAGGCATGGGCCTGCCCTCTAACCTGGGCGTGCAGGGCAAGGTCCCTGTGCAGGCAGTATTGCCGGGGCTTTCGTGACAGCCCTTTGTTGCATGACGCACATTGTTGATGAATGCCTGACAATTAGGTTCAGTGGTAGCCTAGAAGAACTGCATCAGGCCTCTGAAGATGCCATCGCCTGGCTAGTCTATGCATATGCTAAATAAATAATAGTGATACTGTATTGACCTCCATGGAGTTACTCTGGCTTTAAGCTTGTGTAGGTAAGATAAGTATCAGGTATTGGCGTTCACTAGTTTAAATCTCTGCAGAGCTGAGTACCAGAAACCTACTGTTTATGAACTGGGGCTGGGACAAACAGTACATCCATTCTAGGGAGCAGTACCCATCCTCCAGAGTCAAGGTCCTCTCTCCTCCCAGAGGATATGCATCAGAAGGCCCCATCACTTGGGCAGGAGAAGGGGTAATGCCATGACATCAGGGCTGAAGTTTGAAAGGAAAGCAAACGCAGGGTTGCACTTGCAGCCTGGTTCAGCCGAGGCAAACAACAATTTGTCAGTATAGTTCAGTTACTCAGCAAAATCCCTGCATTTATGCAACGCTCAATGCCTACAGCTACTTGGCAAGTCCTCTCCCACTACCTCTCCCCTGCCTAGGGTTAGAGTAACAATTGGCAGTTTGTTTGGAGGAAGTGGGAGGGTGGGGGTAGGGAGTGTCTGCGCAGGCTGGTAATTGGACACCTCCATGAATGGCCCATTGATCCAGGCAGGAAAGTCACCAGTAGCTCAGCCTGGTGGCTGTACCCAGAAAACTGGGATCCACTTTTCACAGGCTGGGCTGATGAGCTTTGGAATAGCCATGTGAAATTAAAAGCCCTCTCTTTGATTTCTTCACACCCGCTCTCTGAAGCAATGCTGGTTTGGTGGAGGGCAGAGTTTGCTGAAACAGCCATGCAGGTTTGCCAGATCTCAGTGTGCCCTTGTTAGAGATTCCAAACCTTTAACCTAGGTCATGTGCATCTGCCGGGGGCGTAGTAGGGTGATGATCCAGCTCCACCCCAACCCCTGTATTGTACAGAGCCAGGACCCAGAGCCTGGTCACATGGGAGACTCAGTCTGAGAGCCACAATTTAGTCTAAGGTGCCACAAGTACTCCTTTTCTTTTTACAATTAACTGCAATTACTTTTTTGCTCAGAAAGGACCTGCAGGGGTCAGACCATGACCGAGGCCTGTGCACAAGACACTTGCTCCTCCTCTGCCTTAACCACAGGAACTCTGCTCTACAGCATCTGCCAATCTTGGCTCCCCAGACACTAGCTATGCCCTCTGCCTGCTTACATCACCCCTGCAGCCCTGGAACAACCCCTCTGGGCCCTTACTCATGTCAAAATCCTCCTTGAAACTGCCTTCCTCGTTAATCCGCCCACAGATTGATTCACAAGCCACAGCTCAGGTCCCTCATCCCTTCCTCTCGGCAGCCCAGCTTCAAGAGCCCTCTCCTGCACAGCTCTTGGCTTAGCCACCTGTCTTGTCTCTGTCCTTCTGACTCTGCACCTCTCCTCACAGCTCAGTTGGAAGCAGAGCCTCCTTCCATGGCCTGGTCCCCTTCATTTCCCTGCCCTCTTTTCAGAGGGGGATGCTGAACCCACTTTTTAATTGCCTGACTTTAATTACCAGTGGCTGATTTCATTGGGTAGCAAGTATGAGCCTGGATAGCCAATGAGGTTACCATCTCAAGTTACCCAGCAACAGTTAACGAGATGCCTCAATTAAGTCATGAGATCTGCATCCACCAGCAAACAGGAATGATGGAACATGAGAGGCAGCTCAGCATTTAAAGCTTTCCCAGAACCTTCCCAAAGCAGGTAAAATGCAAGTCTCCCAGTCCTCCCTTGTCTAATCATATGGGCACTTGTGTTGATTTTAGAGCAGGGGGTTGTACTGGTTTTATGAAATGCAAACAGCAGCAGTGTTTCCACTGGAATAGTCCTCTGCTGTGTTTGCAGCCCAATGCTAACATGGGAACCTGGGTGCAACAATGAACGGCAACAGATCTGCTCTAGTTCAGTCACAAGTGGTCATCCAATTGCTGCATGAAGTCCTCTGGCCTGTATTATGCAGGAGGTCCAACTAGGCTATCCTAACAGTCCCTTCTAGCTGTGCCATGTGTGAGCCTATGTAAAGAGAAACTGACTAGGCTGAGTAAAATGCAAAAGACAAACAAAGGGCATGAATGGTGAAAAGTATGTTCAAGGCCAGTCACTGGTAGCTTTGCACTGCTCAAGTGACAGAGCAGCTGGAGCATACCAGCACATCTGGCCCTGCATCTGTAGGGTGCACTCAGTTGTGATGCAACAGATGGGGAGAGGGGGATTTGTTCTGTTTTAAGACTCAGGCCCTCCTCAGCGAGGGCAGCTTCTCCTGGATTTCAAAGGGGCTTTGGGCTAAGGAAGGAAACACTGCATGATTGTTGCAGAGCTCCAAGCACCACTTTTTGAAACAGGGCCAGTTTCTCCATCTGCATAAAAGAAGCCAGGCTCTGGGTTGAGTGGCCAGCCGAGAATTCCCCTGGCAGCAGGGGTATCAGCTAGTGTAAAGATATCAGAGCTGGGTTCTGTGCCAATCACTCTGCCCCCAGCCTGGCACAAGGGGCACATCAAAGAGTAATTCAGTGGGGGAAGGACAGGACTGAGTTCCACCCTGCTACCCCAGTCTACAGCTGATACAAGGTCCATATGCTGCTGGCATAAATTAGAGCAGCCCCTAAGCTGCTCTAACTCATACCAGATTCAGTGCCTGCTGGCTTGCAAAAATCAAGGAGCAGAAGCTGGTATCAAGAGGATCCGTACAAGTTCTAAAGCACAGAAGTCCATAAGATAGACATCCCCAGTGGTGCACAATCTGCACAGGGGTGAATTTTACCCTGTGGAAGTATCGGTAATGGTTATCCTTTCAGTTCAGAGATGCCAGGCCTTAAGAGAAGCAGGTCCTAGTGCCTTTTGACACCACAAAGACCAGAGATACTAGGCACTGTGAGAAGTGAGTAGCTCTGGGTACAGCTAGTTCTCTCAAGCCCAGCTGACCAGGGCTAGGAGCCATCACCTGCAGCCCAAGCCCATCTCCCCAAACACACTGAGGGACAAGGACATACACCCAAAGGGCTGGGAGGATGGGGATGAAGAGGACACTGAGCCTACATAGGAAGTCAACCTTTGGGGGCTCTGGACAAAGGTCTCACTTGAGTTTGGTGAAGGGCTGCAGGCAGCTGGTGGCCTGAGACTGACAAGGAAGGGGTGGAGCATGTGAGCACATGCACACACCATTCATGATGCACAGGGCACATATCGCATGGGATTCAGGCAGAAGCTAAGGTTTTCAGACAGGTTTATAATGATTCCTTTAACTGCTCACTTTGTTCCTTTTTCTCACAGGCACTTCTTTATCTGTGTTGCTGAGCTTATGTAGAAAGGGGCCACATCCCGTCCGTATAGGTTCAGAGAGGAAAGAAATCCCCTTCCCCAGCAATACATGCTTCCCCTTCTCACCTCGCACTCCTGAGTGCCAGGCATGGCATCCAGCTACCATGCCTGCCGACACCCCATGCTCCTGCAGCATGTTCTGATGTTCAGCCGGTGCTAATGCTAGGCACTGAAATGGTGTGTCCCTTTAAGGGCACCGTACCAACGTAACCCGAGAATACCAGCAGGCAGAGGCTGAGCACCCATGCTGTTACCCACTGCTAACTCGAGAGCACTGAACAGGAGGCTGTGTGCGCGTGACTGCATTTACTTTCTACTATGTAATACATTCCCCTTTAAAGGGGGCACAAGGTGGGGCTCACTGTGGTTAATACAACTGCACCCAGTAATGATCTGGCCCCATTATGCTGGGTAAGGCACAAACCACCATGTGCTCCCACCCACACTGAAAACATGTGGCAGGATGGCTCTGGACCTAGCATTGCCACCTGGCCTGGCTAGTTTTTGTACTGCTTTGCTCATGGCCA